CATACATAGTGATTGAGCTTTTTGAGGGGTGGGCGCCTGATGGGTCTCAGGTAGGGCTGAGAAGGGAATGAACTATCAGGTACTGAAAAGCCATCAAGGTCAAATTCTGCTGATCTCCCCAGAAGCTTCTTACTCTAGACTGTAGAATTCCATTCTATAGATTCTCTCTAGGTCCACCCATCGGAGTTGACGTGTGACCCAGGGGAGGGACATTGGGAAAGGCTTTACATGGAACTGATGGTCAACTAGGAATAGCGTCTTGGAAAAGATGTAAACAAAATTAAGTCCAGGTATCCACCAACAATGGAGGGCAGGTAGGTGAAAACCCTTCACTTGGGTCCTCAAGGGAGTCGGGCATTTCTTCAAGTTGCCATAAGCATTTCTTCTTTTCTGAAATGCAGAATTGCTTGTACTTCATATGAAACCAGTGCTCTATCCATCTTCAGCGAGGGGAAAATGCCTTCTAATATTCTTTCCTTTCTGTAAAACAAAAAAGACAGTGTGAGGTTCTCAAAATTTCATTTTACCAGAAAAAAAAAATAGAACCATACATGCATTTACTTTATAATTTTAGGGTGTTGTACTTCTCATTTCTGGCTAATCTATGATTAACTGTGGCTTCTAGCTCATCAGGTTTCCTACTTTCCTGTCATTATCTTCTCTCCATCCTTTATGTTGTGATCAATGCTCTACACATTTGTATGTAAATACCATTCTGTAATTCAGTGCCTAAGGAAAAATCCATTTCTAAATAGGGGGATTCTGAAATAATAACCACCCCTTGTTTTGAGAATTTAGGTTTTCATAAAACAACATTTGTAAAAGCAGGCCCACCTCTAGAGAACACGTGACAAGTACCTAGCAGATGTCATTACTGCAAAGTGTTTCCCCTCAAAATCCTTAGATTTTCACTTCCTCTGGATTTGCCGCTTTAATGGGAGAGCCCTCCACGGTGACACACACGCTCTGCTTCTCAAAGTGTGGTCTGCGAGGCTCTGCCAGATGGTCTCCTTCAGAATAAATGCTTTCAATGTGATAATGTTTACATTTGTGTTTCTGGCATGAACTATTAATTTTCTCGTGATATTTAATAAAAAACAGATTATTTCATTTTGAGCTCATAAAGCCCAGTACCTTTCTTCTCCATTCTATCTGGTAGGGATTGTTTAGTTCCTGTTGGTGAGGTGACAGCAAGTGTGGGAAGGATCACTGAGCAGCATGCCCCCTCTTCCTGCTAGGCAGAAGTGCTGTGCGGCCTAGAAGGATTTGAGATCCACTCCTCTCCACGGAGGTCACGTTTGGAGAAAGGGATAGTTTGTCCGGGTAACATGAGACCAGGGCTCCGACATAAACAACCTCTTTTAAACCTCACAGTTTACCACCTAGCTTGAATATTCTGGAATTCAGTGATGGAGTCTGAGCTCTCTGGCCATGTTCATCATGTTTTTTAGAGGCTTATCATTTTCTCTTCTAAGTCTTTATTGTTCCAGACTGGAGTCCTTGTTTAATCATTCTGGCCACAGCAGAGAAGTGAGATGGTTAGGGAGACTTTCTATCCCTTGACCTTTTTTATTGTACTTCTCTGAACTCTTGTCCAGAGCTGGAAGCAGTGGTACTAAATTTTATCCATGTAGCTCCTGTTTCCTGAGGATGTCTTTGACCAACAGAAACTGGTCCTGGCAGGCTGCACTAGTGAGACTGGAATGAAGATGGATGGTGAACTTCAAAGGATGAGTTTATATCAAAAAGATATGGAAAATTGGTCTGGAGTGTGCAGGATAATGCCTTCAGTTTACTCTTCTCTTTTTTTTTTTTTTTTTTTTTTGAGTTGAAGTCTCACTGTGTCGCCCAGGCTGGAGTGCAGTGGCATGCTCATGGCCACCGCATTCTCAACCTGCTGGGCACAGGTGATCCTTCTGCCTCAGTCTTCCAAGTAACTGGAACTACAGACATGCACCACCATGCCCAGCTAATTTTTTAAGAAATTTATTGTAGAGACGAAGCCTCATTAAGTTGCCCAGGCTGGTCTCGAACCTCGGGACTCAGGCAACCCTCTCGCCTCAGCCTCCCAAAATGCTGGGATTACAGGCTTGAGCCACTGTGCCTGGTTTACTGTTTTGAAGGATGCAAAGTAGAGAATGATAGGAAAATGTTAGATTTCCCTGAGAGAGACAGGAGGATTTGGTGTCTTTTGGCAAGAGGTGGGGTGCATGACTTTTAATTCTCTCATCACCAAATTTAATACAAGTGTGGGCTTTTCTTCTTGTTGCCAGCTTCTCACCTCTGACTCATTCTCCCCCCCCCACCCCCTTTATTTCTATAGTTTTTGGGGTACAAATAGTTTAGTTTTGGGTCTGGGCTTTAAATGTACCCATCATCTCCACCTGTGCACATTGTATCCGATAGCTGATTTTTAGTCCCTTCACCCCCTTCCCCCACCCTGTTCTTAGTCTCCAGTGGTCATTATGTTATTCTCTGTGTCTTTGCTGGTTCTTAGTTTAGCTCCCACTTAAGTGAGAATGTGCTGTATTTGGCTTTCTGTTCCTGAGTTAGTCGCTGATTCATTCTTGAATCTATTGGAATTCATTTTCCGCTCCCAACTCATCCCTGAAACTGCATCCTTAAATATCATCAGGGACCATCAAATTGGTAAAGGCTGTGAGAGTCATCACTTTTCTATATTATTTCACATGTGTCTCTCTATCCTTGTCTTTTCTGACAATGCTGTACTTGTCTTTGACTTCTCTGATTGTTTCCTCTCACACTCCTGCATTGTCTTCTGTTCTTCCTCCTTGTAATCATCCTCCTCCTTTATGGAAGGTGACATTTCCCAAGGTTCTGACTTTTGTGCCTTTGTTGTTACGGCTACTGTTGCTTCCATGGTGTTATCACCTTCTCTGCTGTCTTCAAATATCATTTCTGTGCCTACAAGTCTGATCATGAACTTTCTTCTGGGCTCTGGAATAAATCTTCACAGTCTTTTCTACACAAAAACATCCTATTCAGACAGGAGACTATTGTGACCCACCTGGAGGAAACACTAAAAACCTGCATGAAGATGTCAAAATGGAAAAGACAGGACAGAGTCATGAAATATTTGGCAGATAAAATAAACAGAGCTCTGTGATGAATTAGCTGTCCGAATAGAGGGAGGAAGAGAACGAAGTAGGGGGCACAGAGGCGACCTCAAGTTTTGTAGCTTAGGTAATTTGGAGGATGGATACGTCCTTAGTGGAGTTAAGTCACATGCAGTAACAGGCAGATTTGAGGGAGAAGGTAACTTCAATTCAGAACATATGTCATCTCTTTTCCTCTTCTTTGCCTTTCGAGTCTTCCTTTCTGTTTTAGTTGGAGTCTTCCTTTCTGTTTATAGTCTGTTTAGCTATAACAGAATACGTAAGACCAGGACATTTATTTTTTATTTTGATTTTTTGAGTAGGAGTCTCACTCCGTTGTCCAGGCTGGAGTGCAGTGGCATGCTCACGGCCACCACAGCCTTGACCTGCCGGGCTCAGGCGATCCTTCTCCTCTGTCTTCCAAGTAGCTGGAACCACAGGTGCACACCTTTTTTGATTTATTGTGGAGACAAGGTCTTGCCAAGTTGCCCAGGCTGGTCCTGAACCCCTGGACTTAGGGCATCCTCTCACCTCCACCTCCCAAAGTGCTGGGATTACAGGCGTGAGCCACTGTGTCCGGCTAAACCGGGAAATTTATAATGAACAGAAACATATTTGGCTCATAGTCTGGAGGCGGCAAAGTCTAAGATTAAGGGGCCAGCATGTTGTGATGGCCTTCAGCCCATGAGAGAAGGCGGAAGGGCAAAAGAGTGAGTGAGAGAGAGAAAGAGAGAAGGGAAAGAGGGCTGAACTCGTGCTTTTAAAATGATCCCGTGATAACGAACTCACTCCTGTGATAACGACATGAATCCTTCACTGAGGGCAGAACCCTCATATCCTGCTCACCTCTTGAAGGTCCCCCCTCTCAACACTCTTGCATTAGAGATCAAGTTTCCAGCACGTGCACTTTGGGGGATGCATTCAAACCATAGCACTTAGCGCTGCTAGAATTATCTTCCTGAAACACAGGTCCAATCATGCCATTCTCTCAATTTTTTTTGTAGCTCTTACTGTCTGGAGAGTAGCTGAGGCATTCAGTCGGCTTGACTGGGATTTGAAGCCCTACACAAGCTGGCTTTGTTTGCCTTCATTGTCATGTTCTAGCACAACAGAATCTACCAAGCGATTTCTCACCTTCTTGTCTTTGCTCAAGCTGTCCTCTCAATCTGGAATGCCTCCCCAATTTTCCTGTCTATGAAAATCCTACTCATTCTTTACATAGCAGTTTGCCTTCTCCATCCTCCAGAAAGCCTCCTCCCGCCCCTCTCAGAATCAAGCACTTTATTCAATATTTCCACAGCAATGCATATGTACTTTCTATGGTATTGTAATGCATTTGCTCAGACGCGCATGTCTCCTATTGGCTGGTAAACTTGTTAAAGTTGGGCAATGCCTCCTATCTATCTGCATTCCTTATCAGCTTCTGCCCCATATTGGTTGCTCATTAAATACATGGAAAGAAGAGGAAGACATTGATTATGGTTGGAGCGGAAGGGGCGTCTGGGGAAGAGAAGAGAAGTGTTTGGGAAAGTAGGTAGGCTTGGACTTGTTTAAGAATATGAGAATACAGCCGGGCTCGGTGGCTCAGCCTGTAATCCCGCGCCTTTGGGAGGCTGAGGTGAGTGGATTGCCTGAGCCCGCGGGTTCGAGACCCGCCTGGGCAACTTGGCAAGACCCCGTCTCTACAATAAATCAAAAAATTAGCCAGGCGTGGTAGCACGCGCCTGTAGTTCCAGCTAGGGTTGAGGCGGAAGGATCGCTGGAGCCCAGCAGGTTGAGGCTGCGGTGGCCAGGAGCGTGCCACTGCCCTCTAGCCTGGGCAACAGAGTGAGACTCCAACTCAATAAATAAATAAATAAATAAATAAATAAATAAATAAATAATATGAGAATACCGGAGCTTTTTGCTGAACGTCACCAACATGGATTCAGGTGCTTTGTGGAGGTTGGCCAAGTGGCCTGTGTCTCCTTTGGACCTCATGCCAGAAAGTTGGTCACGATTGTAGATGTTATTGATCAGAACAGGGCTTTGGATGATGGACCTTGCACTCAGTTGAGGAGACAGGCCATGCTTTTCAAATGCATGCAGCTCACTGACTACATCCTCAAGTTCCCACACAGTGCCCGCCAGAAGTATGTGCGGCACGCCTGGCAGAAGGCTGATATCAGTACAAAATGGGCGGCCACGAGATGGGTCAAGAAGACTGAAGCCAGAGAAAGGAAAGCCAGGATGACAGATTTTGATCGTTTTAAAGTCATGAAGGCTAAGAAAATGAGGAACAGGATAATCAAGAATGAAGTTAAGAAGCTTCAAAAGGCAGCTCTCCTGAAAGCGTCTCCCAAAAAAGCACTTGGGTGCTGCTGCTAAAGTATCAGCAAAAAAGGTGACCACCGCTGCAGGGCAAGAAGGCTCCAGCCCAGAAGGTTCCTGCCCCAAAAGCCACAGGCCAGAAGGCAGTGCCTCCACCAAAAGCTCAGAGGGGTGAAAAGTCTCCATCCCAGAAAGCACCTGCTCCAAATGCATCTGGCAAGAAGGCATAAGAGGCTATCAAAACAAAAATAAAGGTTCTTTTTGACATGTTGGCAAAAAAAAAAAAAATGTTCAACTGGCATGGAAAACTTTGGGTTGTGAAGAACAGGGATGGATCATAGTGATGAGAGTCAAGAAAGCGTTGTGTGTCATTTGGGAGGCTCCAATTAAACACAGGATCCTGTGACACAGCATCATGTATGTACACATTAAGCTGCTTTTTCACAGGCAGACATGCCAAATCGTAAAGTCCTTCAGCAGGAAATTATTATCCCTCCCATTTAAAAAGATACAAGGCCGCTTTGTGTAACCAAGACTCCTGAATATTTAGCTGTTTCTGTGGCTAGTCTATTGTCTGATGCCATAAAGAGATGGGACCTTGACTGATAGTATGGTGATGACCCACTGCTATGCCCATTTATTTAATTGTAGAAAAGATGGGCGAGGGGATATTCTGATTAATGAGATTTCTTTGACCCTTAATTATTCCTTTCATATGTTAGACCCTTTCGTCAACCTGTTTTTATCTTCAGCTGCACAAAGGAAAAATGAAAATATATTGTCTTTTAATATGAATCCCAGAATACTACAATGGATGACCTTTCTGGATGCTGACATGCATACATATTTATTGTTTCCATCTTTATTATGTGTGTGTTCCATGCATTCTTAATGTACACATCCTATGTATCTATGTAACCATCCCTTAGCCCATGCTCATGCCAATCTTTCATTAGTAAAATACTGCCAGTTGTCTGTTAGAGATGAGAAGAAACAGAGAAGACCCATATCCTGAATATTTTAAGTTTCAGTGAGCCGTTTCTCAAGAGGGCAGCTACCCCTTGTCCAGCCCCAGGTTCTTTTTATTTTTTTATTTTTGAGTTGGAGTCTCACTCTGTTGCCCAGACTGGAGTGCAGTGGCCACTGCCGGCCACCGCAGCCTCGACCTGCTGGGCTCTGGCGATCCTTCCGCCTTAGCCTTCCAAGTAGCCAGAATTACAGGCATGCACTACCGCGCCTGGCAGATTTTTTGATTTATTGTAGAGATGAGGTCTTGCTGCCCAGGTGGGTCTAGAACCCACAGGCTCAGGCAATCCACTCACCTCAGCCTCCCAAAGGCGCGGGATTACAGGCTGAGCCGCCGATAGCCCCAGGTTCTTAAGGGAGTCACATGCACAGACAAGATGCCAGGCGAATGTAATCGTTTTATTCCTAGCTGGGTATGGCCGCCAGACCTTTGTTGCGATACCATTCTTGCTGAGTTGGGACCTAGGAGAGCCGACTTAGTGCCTTTTGCTTGGGTTTGATGCTGGCCCCAGAGGCCTGGGTGATGACTCTTCCCTTGGTCCTGTTTGGTCTCTCCTGTGGCTTTCATGGGTCAAGAAGGCTAAGGTAGGAGGTAGTCCCCATCCCTGTCTAGTGGCTTCCCCTAAACAAGTCCTAGAAGAGCTACATTCCATCAGAGAAATAAAAATCACACCCTACATATGAGAGGACTCTAAAGAGACCTTGTCACTTGGCTGAGTGGGCCTTAACCTACCTCTCCTGTGCCAACTCCTCCACTACTTGGCATCATGACCCAACATTCTCCCTGGCTCTGCCCAACTCCCTCAGTCCTTCTTGGCAGTGGCGGTGGAAGGAAGGGTGAGGAGGGAAGGAAAGAGCTTTGAACTAACCCAACAGATTGGGTGGATAGTCAACACTGGTCTAGAGGCTAAAGTGATGACAACAGCCACACCAAATATGATCATGGTATTGGACACCTCTTGTCATCCACTTCACACATTCACCTCTTTCTCCAGCTTGTGCTGTGGCCACCAATTGTGGTCAGGTGTAATTGACAGTACCTCCTTGGCTTTATCACCTGGCTCTTGCTGTCTGCCCTAGGGACTTCTTTGCCACCCCAATATGAACTGTATTCTTTCATTATGCCAAAACTAAAATGTCTTTCTCTATACCTGTTAAACCATTTACTCTTCTGCAGAAAACACTGGCAGAGAGCTCAAGGGTCACCATGTGCTGGTCGCTGGGAGGAGGTTGAAAGCAGTCAGGTCATGGGAAACGAAGAGGGCAGAGTCGGTGAGACAGAGGTGGGTGGGGCAGAACATCCCGTCTGGCTAACCCCTGACATATCTGCTCAGATTTAGTACCCACCGTTTGGCAGAATATGTTTAAGCCACCCTCAGATGACTGCAGGCAATCCACACAGGGTGATTTTGTTTTAATCAGAAGAGAAAAACTTTGGACCTCTTAAATTCTGAATTGGGCAGAAAAATCCTTTTAGTCATTTTATTTTTCTCTATTGAGCTTGTTATGGTTTGGAAATGTTGAGGTGCCATTTTTGGGGCTTTAACTGCCTTGCAAGGGTTTTGCTTTGCAACATTTCTGCTTCAAAAGGCTGACTTTGTCTTGGTTAGGAAGAGCCCTAGACTCATGGTGTATTGTGCTGTTAGGGTGGGAAGGAGTCTTAGAGATTACTTAGTTCAACCTCTGTTTTCATGAGATGCTTAATGGTATGTCGTATTCACACCTCTACCTTGTATCTGAGCCAGTCTTCACACTTGGATAGTCTGACTCCATGGTAATATCCCTCATGGTCGACAAACATTATATGGAATCCACATTTTCTCACTATACGAGATAGAAAACTGCCTGTAGGGACTGGTGCGAGGGGAATTGATTTTGAAATGTGAACTGTAGATGCTTTGCTCCGGGCTTATAATTTTACTGAAAACCAAGAACAAATGAACGAATACTTAACTGCACCAACAAGGAATCTTAAGGGCTGTTGTTAGTTTTCCTTTTCTCTTTTGCAGCACCTATCAATGTGATTTGCGTTATGACCAGGAGGTCTACTGCTTCATAAAGAAGAGGCATTGATTAATAACTGGAGACCACTCACACCTTAGCCACGGGAAAGTGGCATCCCTCAGTCCCTGGGAGTCATCACACTTCAATACCCCAACCCTGTTTTATGAATATCTGCCTGCCCGGATAATTGTAGATATTCACAAATTAAATCCCATTTTGTGTGGGACTGCTATTCTGAGGGATAGAAAGAAGAATGTTGGCTGGAGTATCTTGAATAGTTGTGATTGGTGGCACCTGAGGATCGAGCTGAACCTCCAAGGGTCCTTTTTGCCTTGTGATTTTGCTTACAGGTTCTAAGCTGCGGTTGGGAAGAATTCCAGCTCTACGTGCCCTGTGTTCCAGAAGCACAGGTGAAATCACTTAGCTGCTGTCCCCTTCCCTCCCTCCCTGAGTTTTTCTTGGCTCTCTTTCCTCCCCATGGACTGAGAGCACTGAAGTGACTCATGAGATGCATCTTCCCTTTCACACTGTCCACAAGCTCCACCTGACTTGTGGCAGGCAGTTCTAGAAGCTTCTGACTATGGATAAGGGGATGCATGGGATCCTCAAGGGCTACCACTTCCTCCTGCTCCCTCGTGACCAGCACTGTGGGCTCTGTTCAGTGGTCAGGCATAGTTTGTTGGAGGTCACCAAATGATTCATCAGCTGTAGTCATGTTACAGAAAACATGGCCTTGAGCCTTAGCTTAAATGTATTTATGTAGCATGACAGTAGGAAAAATGTCTATGATCTGGGATTAAAAGTCAAACAAAGACCGCTTGACTGGCTTGGAGATGTCCAGGTTCATATGCCATGTTTTCTAGATAAGTCACGATGGGAGAGGATGTGGTCTGTTCTGTCATGAATGGCTGTTTCCAGACCATTTCTTAAAGTCACTGGAAGCCCATTTCTAAGTAAATGATGACAAAGCTGATGTTTTTTTTATATTGCTGGCTCTTCTCAACTGCAGGAAAAATGTGAGGTAGCTGTGGAGTTTAAGAAAAAAAAAATATGTATATACAAAATGAGAAGACCCTCCTGCCTATAGTGCTAGCAAAAATCCAAGAAACCTGGATTATGTTAATATTTTCAGTAAATACCAGCCACCCCAAAACAAAATTAGTATTTGAATCAAATGAAAGAACTTGATTCAATCATCTAAAAATGGTTACTGGTTGGGGAAAAAAAAAATGAAGAAAATAGTGTCTGATTAGTGACTGGTCATTTTCAAAGTGGCTTTTCCTACATTATCTCATTTTTTAAAAAAGTAAATTGATCTTTTTTAAATGTTAGAGTGAAGTGGTTCACAATTTCTTGAAATAAGCAAAGGACATTATATTTATAAGCATGCAAATTACAAACCAGGCAAAACAGTCTCTTCTGCTGCTTTATATATTTTTATCAACCATCACAGATTCATGGGAAGGTCTCAAATAGAACTTAAAATGGACTTAAAATGTGTTTTTTATCTCTTTTCTTTTTTATTTTTTGGTCTAAGTTTCTTTCTCTGGTCCCTTCCCTCGAATGGTGAACTATTTATTACTTGCATTTGGATAGACTGTTATTTAGTTTGCAAAATATACCATTTACCCCCTCACTAAAATCTCATAGTTGTCCAACTTCATTGAGATAAACAGAATTATTCATCTGATTTTCCCCCCTTTGGCTATGAGGACAATAAAACGATGTTAAGTAGGAGAGGGTGAGGCTGGTGAACACTTTTAAATATCACTTAATAATTTCAGGAAGGAGCCAACCTGCTTTGTCCTGAATGATGGATATGCTCTCAACCTTAATGGCCATTAATGACTTTCATAATAACAGTTTGCATTATAGCCATGGCTGTTCAAACCTTGGATTTTGTAACAGTTATAACCAGGAGTGAAGATTTCTGAAATCTGATTAAAATACACTGAAAGGTAAAGAAAGAAAGAAAGAAAAAACAAAAACAAAAAACAAAGCAAGACAGAAAAAACCCTGAGACTAACAAGTAGTCAAGGATGGCAACCAAAAAAGAAAAGGAAACAAGAGTATAGCCAACCTTTTTTTTTTTTTAATTAGAGTATATTATACTTTCAAACTGGATACACTAGAAATTGGCAATGCAACATAAGATGCAAAGGAATATACCAGTTACTGTCCAAATGACCCTGTACAGCCT